GGGGGGCAGTTTTCCTTTTCTCTTGAGACAATGATGTCAGTACATGTATTGGCTATACAGTAGTCTAGAGCTCCGCCTGAGATCCCGGTGCTCGGAAGCAAGGTGGGATATCTTAGGTGAACGATATCTAACTCGACAAAGCTAGGGTAGAATCTACAGTGACTCGTGTAGCCTAAAGGCTCCCAACCAGTAAAGTGGTCTCTTTTCCACTCTAAAATAAACTGACGTGACTAGCCTAGTGGGTGAGTTTATGACATGGTAAGCAAAGAGTAGTCCACCTTGATGACCAGCCACATCGGCGTGAGGCATGTCATTTACACTTATTGTCCTTTCGTGAGTCTCACTCAAAATCTACATTAAAGCTATCCTGTTGTCCCTACCCTTTACCAGTCAGAAATTTATAGCTTTCCATCTCTGAACGAGTTCCCCCGCCTTTGCCGATACGCACCAGTGTGACCACACCAAATTAAAATCCAGTCTGTCTCGCAAAGTAGGGAATACAGAAAACTGTTGAAATTAGCAATGGTCAGAAGAGTTCACAGTTCGAAGCGATCCCGTCGGGAGCAATTAAGCTTGTAAGCCCTACCCACCCAGCGAGTGACGTGGCCTACATTAATTTAGGTGGAGACAAAGATAGTACAAGACATGGAGAGCAAGGAGGTCCTTTGTTGAGAGCCAGATGCGTGCGGTGTTTGGGGGAAACAAACGGGTCGAGTTCACACCTTGGTGGTGTGCTACTCTGCTGGGGCAAACATTCTACCGTTTCACCGAATTTTATGACGCTTATGTGATCAAATTTACTAGAGTGGTTGATCTTTGACGTGACGGGCAGTTCAATGATCTCAACTTTTCACTCTTGGTTGATCGGCTGTGCCCGCCTGGGTTTTTGTTCCGTAAATTATTATCTGAAATGCGGGGCCTTAGCCGAATGTAGACCTTCAGAGTGAATAAGAGCGGGGTCTTAAGGGTGACTCTTGTGTCGTAAAAATTTTGTTTTCTTAAAACAGCAGGAGGTAAGATTGAACTTTGGTGAACCCAACAGACTGAACGAAGCCGAAACTACTTTTGAGCCTCGCTGTGCTATGGCCCGCTCTTATGTTAGACCGTGAATAGAGAGTAGTGGAGAAGCTGGGCTTCTGAACCTATTACCATAACCCCATGACTGTCTCAGGGATCGGCCCTGTCATCGGTCTTTTTCAATATATACACCATCGGTCTTACAGTCAATCAATTGGAAGGACCTGGCCGTGCGCTAAGCTTTGAAGATGATGTATTGGTATATATTATTATATAGACAGGGGAGAGATCGGGAGCTGATTGCAGGGAGCATGCAGGAGGAATAAGACCGAATTGGTGAACGGTGCGAACAGAACAATGGAAAACTTTTAATCCAGCGAAGGCAGAGGTACAATGTGGACCAGTCTCAACAACAGGGCAGTTAAGGCTATCATGCCTACTGTTGGTGTACAGGGTACACAGTTGGAAAGGCAAGAGAAATTGAAGTACAAGACCATGTGACTAACATTATCACCAGAACTAGGAAAGGACTCGTTGCACTGAGAGTGATGGCTGCATCTATGCCCCAACGCGCCCTTATGATCATGCTTCAAGCGGTTGTACTGTCTGTAGTGGTATGCTCACCCTATCCAAAACCCAGTTACAACGCCTCGAAGTCATTCAAAATGAAGGATGGGAACTGCTCTGGGATGCACCCGTGACACGTACTGCAGCATCAGCAATGAGATATCTGCCGGACCCGCCAACGTGAACCCCCGACACAAGCTAGCACAAGTCAAGGCTTACCTACGAGTAATAGCGAACGAACATCACCCACTACATCCGAAAATAGGAAATCAAGTACGCCAAAGATTAAAAAGAGGATCTTCATGGATGGTGCAGGCAGAGCGAACTCTCGATATTTGTTGTGAAATCGAGGACATAAGAAGAAGATGTGACTGGATGAGGCCGGAGAAAGACATGAGCAGCTTCATGAAGGTGATAGCTACGTTACGCTAGGTCGAGAGTGTCACGAGTGGCCAGCAAATGCAACTAATGCGGAAATTGTGACCATCCTTGAGGAAAATTCAGTGATGGTTGATGTTGTCGTCTTCACTGACGGATCAGTGAGGCGTGGCCAGAAATCTGGGTGGGTGTTCAGTGCTCGAGGTGACGGGAGGATAACTGAAGAACAGTCTGGAGCCTATGAGTGCACTACATCAAGCATGGCTATGGAGGTTAAGACAATAACAGGGGCGCTGGAAAGGGTCAGTGAGGAAGCGTATATAAACATGCCCTGTTCGTCATAGATTTGATGAACACCCTAGAAAAAATCAGGAGTGGATGGCTCTACAGTGACTGGAGAGCTTTCATTGCAAATATAGCCACCTCCTAATACGGGGTGCCTGTTTGTTTTTGAGGCGATCGAGTCGGGCGAACGGCCCGATCGGCCCGATCGGCCGATCCCATCCGTAGAGGGCACCCCGTATAAGGATTACATGGGTGTTCTGATGAACTTGCAGGCAAAGCAGCATCCAATGGCTGAATCATGCTCGAACCACAATTATGGTGATCGCCAGATGCAAGAAGAGCCTTCACGACCAAGAGGAGACAGACTCCCACACACTCAGCACAATAAAAGAAAAGTGTGTGCGGGGCACAGGGGAAAAAAAGTTTGCTCCAAGGAGTCTAGTCAGGCGTGTCTCAAACCAGCTCCTCGTGGAGACAATAAGCAGGAATTAGACCCTGGGGTGGACGCTGGAAAGGAGAGATGAGCAGCTATGGACATGTGCCGCCTTCTATGATTCTACCTCTGGATCCAAGTAATCTATGTGTTATGCTATTGTTTTGCATTTATGTGTGTGTGGGTTTTTATGAATTGTTGCTAGGGGGGCAAGCCCCACCACTCCCCCCACCTGACCCCCCACTGTTGTTATTGCTATAGTGCGCATTAAATGTAAACACGGTGGGTCCACCAAAGTTCAATCCAGCCCAGCGGGATCTTAAGCGAATCTTAGGAGATATCGACTACTGCATCACTGCATCATGTATGCTAGTATACTGCATGGAGGGCTTTGGCGAGATAAGTTGTAACTTGTCTTCAACTAAAATCAGTCAAGACATTCTGAAGAGACCGTACGAGTCGAAGCGGTTCTCCACAGCCAAAATCACTGCTCAGTTTGCAAAACATATATATAATAATCATCCTTCGTGAGGCTGGTCAAGGTCAGAGATATGGGTCATTAAAAGAAAATTATGGTTCAGTTTCCGAGTAGGCAAGGCTAAGCAACAGTCTCAGGTCAGAGGGTCGGAGGTCAATGAACGAACAAAGTCCAAGAACTCTTCAGCCCTCGGGGGAAAGGATCGCAGTTACGAGGGGAGTGTACTGGGCCTACTGGGCCTGCCCCTTTGTATTATGGCGTCATCCATCCGACTGTGTCTACGAAGTGCCGTTGCGTTTGCGCTGAAACCTAAACGTCGATTTTCTCTGCAACTGTCTGTTGTTAGACCGTTTTTCCAACCATTCAGAAGCACATTCCCAGTAGGTATTTTTGTTTTCGGGTTGTTTTGTTTTTGCAACTGTACCATTTCCACTGAATTCCCAATTGTTTTGGATTTGCAGTTCACTAGACAGACTCACAGAAGGCTGCAGTCAGTGATAAAATGCGGCTGAATGATCAAATGAATTTGCCGCTTGACTGCTTGCTTCAACTTGACATTACACGTCAGTTTGTGACTAAGTCTCAGGTGTTGTGTAGTGGGTTTATTATTGCATGCAGCTTGCCAGGACAATCAAATAATACGAAAATATGTTTTAAATTGTTGCTGTTGCCAGTATCACAGTGACTATCAGTAGATCTATCTAGATCTAGATCTAGATCTAGTATGAGTAACTTTTAGGCCACCTCTATTCTCACCCTGGGTGAGAATAGTGCAGGCGAGTCTTTTGGCTATTCTCACCCGGTGCGTGTTCACCGTTATAGCCTAGATCTAGGCCAACCAATTTTGTGTTCACCCTAAACCACAGAATTCTACACTGTGATAACAGAAAAATTGTAGAATTCTGTGCCGTGAACAAACGTTCCATTACTAAAAGCGTACAATTTTGTCTGTTTGCAGTGGAGAGAGAGAGAGAGAGAGAAAGAAAGAGAGAGAGGAGTAACGCAAGAACTTCCGGGCAAAACAAAATGGCGACCCGCGTACTCGCGTAGTTTGGCTCGATTCGAAAAGTTAAATAACCGTAGCATCTTTGTAGACAACCAAATTAATTTACTTTTGTGCTTTAACATAATTTTTTAACTTTGTTTTGGTCAATTTGATCGTCCACACCGATAGACAGTATTCAGAAAGAGACAGAGAGAGAGAAGAGGGGAGGAGTAGATCTTGCGAGAACTTCCGGGCAAAACAAAATGGCGACCCCCGTAGTTCGGCTCGATTCGAAAAGTGAAATAGCCATAGCATCTTTGTAGTCGATAAAATTTGCTTACTTTTGTGCTATAACGTAATCTTTTCTTTGCCTTTATCCATTTGATCATCCACATCGATAGAAAGTATTCCGAAATTAGGAAAAACAGGTCTTGTTTCACACCGGGTGAGAATAGCCTACAGTGGCAAGTCTCACCCGGGGTGAGAGGTCGGTCGTATTTCTATTCTCACCCCTGGTGAGAATAGCCACTTCCTAACTTTTAAGTAAGAACATAGAATCTAGATTCTAGATATATCTAGATCTAGATTCTAGATTTAGATCTAGATCATATATATATATATATATATATCTTATATAAAAAAAGGTAGTGTCAATTGCCACCGTGTGACGCGGTGGCAGTTGACAAAAATTGACAGCAGTGTCAATTGCCACCGAGTAAATTGGAGCTCTTTTGATTGGTGAGTAGATCTAGCTAGCCTAATATTGTGCTCAAGTGCTCGGTGTTGTGCGTTCACCTCTCTGTCCCTCTGTGTTTGTGTGTGTGTGTGTCTTTTCCTGACCCTCGTCCCCCGGATTTGTGTTCCCCGATATAATGTGAATTTCTGCTTGAATTTGTGTGCATTTGTGACCTTCTACACTTCTAGAATTGCCTGTGTTGGTTTTACACCGAAGTGTAGGCTAAGGCTAGCCTAGATCTAGATCTACGCCTACGTCTCATTTTACTTTTAATCTCCTTGGTCTCATTGAAAACACGCCGAGTTGGTACTGTAGCTCAAAACTAGATACTCGTCCAATGAAATTAGTAAAGACAAATTGACCCATTAGACACACATTATGAATAGAAAGCTAAAGATAGTGTTGTTTTCAGACTTGACACCGCTTCACTCTGTGGCAATTGACACTACCGTCAATTTTTGTCAATTGCCACTGCGTCACTCGGATCACCCCCCCTGAAACCTCCCATATTTATGGGCCTCGATGTGCTTCTCCCTGCGGGCAGTCATTATTGGGACCTCTACGCGGTGCTGCAGACCCTGGAACAAGTACAGCTCCGGGCCGAACTCCAATCAACCCCTGGATTCAGACAGGAATGGAGGCGACAGGGTTTTTGTCCGGAGGCTCAGCCGAACCGGCTAATCTGAGTCTCCTGTTAATAATGGCTGGTGACGTCGAAACCCACCCTGGACCTATTGAGATGTACACATGCACAATATGCAACAGGAACGTGACCAACCGGGGTTACTCTATCCGATGCACCACCTGTGCCAAATGGATACACAGCAAATGCAGTGGCCTATCGAACCCAGAAATTCGACGTCTCTTCCACAACCATGCTTGGGCTTGCCTGGCCTGCTCCATTACGTCCCCTATCCGAATCGTCCCCCCCCACTTTCCATTTCCCCCTAGTGTTTTTTCTATATAATTTTACTGTGTAAAACAGGCACCTGTCCAACGCGGCCACGGCCACCATATTTTAACACGCAACCCCTATCACAGCAAGCAATAACACCTCTCTTAGACGGCCACCTTAGGGACTTCATTATGTTTTGTCATAAATCATGCATTGGCCCACTGGCGTTGTGGACGAACCGTCATAATTCAATCACCTGTCATTGTTGTTAGGTATTCCCTCCAACCGATCATGTTGCATAGGCCCCTCCCACTGTTGACCAATAGGTAACTAATTTTCAGCTGCTGGTGAGGTAAGCGTGTGATCCCTTATAACCCAAAAGCCCCGCCCAGAACTCGTACACAAATCGTAAGTGAGATAATAAGTGGTCACTGTATACCCAGTCTGTACCAAAGTAACAATGGACGTCAACATGAACTTGAGACAGAAGCGTTGCTCATTCTCTGGGGGGTGGCTACCCATGTGTTTGTTTTACCATAGCACTCAACCCTCCTTGTCTGACACATTTCGTTTTATTGTCACCCTTGCATAAAAGGAGCAACAAAAGAAAAAAAAACAAAGTAAAAAAACAAAACAGCGAAAACAACAACAATAGCAACAACAACAATGCGGCTATCTTCGGCTGGGACCTCAGAAAGGAAGGGTTTGTTTTCTTCATCTTGATCAGTCCTGTCTAAGACGGCCACCTGTCTTATACGGCCACTTTTCTCCTTTACAATGGGTGGCCGTCTTACACAGGTTCGGCTGTATCTTCGTAATGAGGTTTATAACTATGTTTAAAGTTCAAGGTAAATGAACGAAATGAAAATTTTAGTTTAATTAGGTTCGCTTATTTCGAAAAATGTGCAAATTCAGTACCCCCCGAAACTGAGAACGCTCTTGGGACAGTGGGAGGTACAAGCGCTGCTGAAAATATAATATATATGCGCTCAGGGCTGGAAGAGTTATTTTAGTACTTTTAGTTCTCTCCCGTATCTAGGAATGCTATAAACTCTATAGACATACCCTCATTTACTATCACTTTAACTTTATGTTGATGAAATTTTTTTTGTTGAGAATAGAAAGTTAAGATAGAGTCATCAACACCTTGTGAAAACATTGCAAAATCCACATGTTTTGAATTGCTCCAGGTCCTCCTACTCCTATTGTCAGCAGCAGATTTACAGTCACAACCAGCAAGAGAATTTTGTCTATTTCTTTGGTACCGGGGCCAAGGTGCAGGAGAGATCAGATTATGTAAATCAGTGACCTTGTCGGTATATTGTTTTTTTTTCTGTTGTCTGTGAGGGTTTTGTCGCCGTTTCGTAAAAATTCATTAAAATTTAATACAAAAGAAAAAGAGTCTGCATTAGAAAAAAGCCTGTCGTAAAAAATTTATAGTTTATATGATACTACTAGTTAAGTCAAGCAAAACTGTAAAAGATTATGTTTTCTCATACTTCTAGCACTTGCAATCTGGATTGTTAACTTTGATATAATATACTCTCAAAAATGTGTGTGTGGCTGGAGAAAAAGTCCCAGTTATTGGCAAACTGGTTTTTGAGCAACGGAGTGAAAAGCCCAACATCAGAAAACACATGTTAACCATTTTTTTAAAAAACATATTGAAAGGATTTTATAATATTTTCAGGCTCAGTATTTTTATTAGTTATTTTTGCAGCTTGTTGTATTTTATCAAAGGTTAAAATGAGCTAGAAATTAGGTTTTCCTCCATGCTTTGTTTTTACGCCATATTACAAAATGTGGCATATCTTTTTAAGTCTACTCAATATATTGGAAAAAATTTTAATCAGCATGTTCAGCATTGACTTGGCTACAAGAATACACCCTTATTTCAATATATATATATATATATATATATATATATATCCAAAATTTTCGACAACTGGGACCTTTCTCCAGGCACACACACTAATCACTGGTAAGCTTTAAATACTTAAACTTCTATTTTCTATCATGTCATTTCAAGGCTTTTTCTGAAGTGTAAAAAAAAAATTAAGCTTCAGTCCCTTGCACCTAAATTAATTGTTATAATAATTAATTTAAAAGCTTGTGCCAGAACCTGAGCGTGATTTAACTTTATGCAGTATTGTTTCGTTTTCTAAAAACATTATGTTATATCTATTTGTTACATTCTTATAATAATAGTGACATTATAATTAAAAGTATGTGGACCGGTCCAGTGACATTTTTGTATTTTTGTTGTTCTTGTTTGCAGATCCAAGGCCTTGTTTCTACTCTCAGAGCCCCCCTTTCCATACTTCTACCCATCATGGCAGCTTCAGGTACTGGGCCTGAGAGTGTTGAATTTTAAAATTGTGTTTTGGTTTTTATTCCATGCCATAATTTTCTAGATCATCTGAGATAATTTTTTTTGGTGGGTTTTTTTTGTTGGTGTAATTCTTTTGGGTTAGATGGACTAAAAATACAAGAAGATCAAGATTATCTCTGACTGACTGCCTTGGTTGAGAGTAAGTTTATTGTTCTAGTTTCTCTTTGTCAGTTTTAATGCTCAGAACTTACTTAATTTTGTCATCCTTATCACCAGTTAAATAACCAAGCAGCACCTTATTTCACACTTTTAAACCATGCTACACGGAGAACATTTTATTTATATTAAAATGATCTGTGTAAATGCTTTTGCTTTGAAAGCATAAGAACAAGAATTTTATTGACTCATTTCACATAAGTCTTGCACCCAGGAGACTGAGAGAGATATGTATTTTTCTTGAACATGGGTGTTCTAGATAGCAAATATATGCTGTTTGATTATAAAACTGGTCTTTTGGTCTTTTTCAGGCGATAACAAACAGCTGATTGAAGAGGTGGAGGCTCTCTATGAGAAGAAAGAGTTTGACAAAATGTATGACCTTTTGATCCCGCACAAAGACACGACAGATGCTGATGTCTTGTGGCGACTTGCGCGGGCTGCCACCGAGGTTGGGAAAGCTCGGGGCGGAGAGGAGAGACAGGCGAAGATCTTTGAGGCATTTGGCTACAGCACCAGGGCATTGGAGTTGGATGACAAAAACTTTGCTTGTCACAAGGTCCCAAAAAAATTTTCCTTACCTTTTTGGGGAAATGCAAGGGGGTGGGGGGGATCTTAATATACGGTTAGCTTATCGGCAAAGAGCAAGAGAAAAAGAGAAAACGAGAAAGAGACAAACTACTGAGACATCAATAGATATACATTTATGTTTAAAGAGAGCAAGAGAAAGCTGAAATTGAGATAGTTCTATACAACATCACTAGGATAATGGTATTGGTGCAAAGAACCTTGTTGTTCACGAGATCAGACAGTTTTTTCCAGGTATCTTCATTTTTCGAATTTTGAATTTTGGGTTTGACTTATTGAAAAATAGAGGGGTAGAAATTTCAAAAGACAGAAATGAAGTCAACAGAGAAAAAGGGGTTATGGAATGAGAAGGAGAGAGATTCTTAAAGGAATAGAGACCAAATGACAGAGAAAGAGAGAAAGAAATAAAACTTAGAGTGCAAAACAAGATGATAAAATAGGGAGAGAAACAGAAGCAAGACGTGTTCAGAATAGGGGCATGGGATAAAGGTTGGCCTACCGACAGCGGGAGGGTAGGGTTGTTTTGGGAAAAAATTTGGTAGCCTACCACTAATTCCATCTCTTTGTTCTATGTCTTGTTGGGAAAATTAAAGTTTCAATTTGTCCTTTTTATAAAGATGAACACTGGTATTAGGATGGATTTTTGGTTATGATTATCCTCTCTTTTTTTTTTTACAACATGTTTTCTCTGGTAGAGGTGGGTCCATCTTATGCAGAGGAAGAGTGCTGCTCTGCTTGCCAAAGTTATGCCAAAAGTTTTTTGGGTTTTTTTTTTACATATCATTTCTCCCTTGTATGATCACAGTGGTATGGCATACTCCTAGACTACACTGCAGAATATGAGGGAACAAAGCAGAGAATTTCCAATGCCTACAAAGTGAAGGAACATTTTATGGTAAGTGAATGGTGGTTGTCTTGTTGATTCTGGTGACTGTCAGATTAGTTACCTTTACTGTGGTTGTTGTTAAAAACTTCACACAGGAAGTGCAAAAAGGTTATCGTTGAAAAGGTAGATCAGAGGCTGTACTTTCTGAGGAAACTAAAGTCTTTCAATTTGAATCCATCCGTCCTTCAGATTTTCTACACCACCACAATAGAAACTTTGATAAATTTTGGTATCACTTGCTATGGTAGCAATTTGGGAAGGCAGCACATTATAAAAATAAACAAGTTGATAAGAAAGGCATCAAGAACAATTGGTAGAGGCCAAAGTAACTTTGAATATCTGCACAAGACAAATGATCTAAAAAAGGCGGAAATAATGCTTAGTAACTATAGCCACCCACTGACATCGGAATTTCAACTATCGACCCGCAGTAAACGATAAATTTCCAAAAAAGCAAGAACAGACAGATATAGAAATTCATTCGTACCAACTGCAATGGGCTTACTGAACACACAGTGCTACAAATGAAACAGAGAAAGAGAGAGAGAGAGAGAGAGAGAGAGAATTTTTTACGGAGCGGGTTGTCCCAGCACATGAGACATGTATTTACTTGGCCTAATGTCCTGTCTTGTTGTGCGTTTGCGTGAGTGCACCTTTAAGTGTCTTAACTTTTGTAACGTCTACTGCCATTGTTAACGACCAAGACAAATTTCTCCCTGCGAGATGAATAAAGATTGTCATTGCCATTGTCAAGAGCATGTTACTTTGTTTGAAAATGTTGACACTTGTCTGCAAGTGTTAGGTTTACCACTGTGAAAAGAGGGGGGGGGACAGACATAGAGAAAGAGAAAGATTGAGAGAGAGAGAGAGAGAGGGAGAGAGAGAGATGTAAGGGGGGGGGGGGGGGGGAGGAGATATGTTTATATATGTTATAGCAGACGTTTTACACATTTTCTCACTGGCTCTTAATTTAATTGAGATGGTTCAGTGTCAGTTGGTTTGCTTTGCCGAGACTCTGAAATTGGTATTTTGTACTTCACAGAAAGCTATTGAGCTCAACCCTAAAGATGCTACTACCATGTATTGCTTGGGATTATGGTAAGAAAACTAGTTTGTTCCTGTAGTGCTATACGAAGTAAAACAATATAAGGGCTATTGTTATAATTATGGCTCTCATTTCATTGTAAGTTGGTAGAAGAATGTTTTGTGAATATTGCAGGCCCATACCTAGCATTGATGCATGTTCATTTTGTGAAAAAAATGTGAAATGCGGGGGAGGGGAATTACCACCCATTTTTTAATGACTGCAACTTATCTGACTGGTTTAGAAAGAATAGAATTAAATCAACTGTGATGAGTTTTTTGGTAGTATTTATTATTGTATAGTTGTACAAGTTGTACAAGTATATATTTTTAATTATTGAGGATATTATCAATGGAAAATGTCATCGCTCTTAGGATAAGACTGGCTAACCCCATCAGAGTAAATTTTACAGGTGAAGCTAAAAACTTTTTTGGTTTCATCTCACAGCAACCTGGCAGCAGTGAATTGTTCAGCTTTATGGATTGTTGGGTTTTCTTGTCGCTGTTTCTGATTCTTTGTCTTTTACTGGTACAGCATTTCAGATATTATAGTATTATGTATTTGTTCGATTACAGGACAAAGTAAATAATAATGTTTTAACTCTGTCTTTTAAAGGTGCTTCCTGTTTGCTGACATGCCTTGGTATCAGAGGAAAGTAGCTTCTGTGATATTTGCTTCCCCCCCAACTTCAACATATGACGAGGTATTTCAAGCACCAATGTGTTTAGGTTCAGAATTGTGATGAAAGAATTTCTTTGGAAAAATTGGAAGGGTCTTTTTAAAATAAAATTTTTTAAAAATTTATTGTTGTTCGAGCTAGGGTGGTGGTGGGATTTAAAAATTACGCTCTGATAGATTCGAACAAATGATCTTAAAGAGGAATGACTTGGCCGTCACCATTAAAGGGCTGCAGTGCCCCATTCTGTCCCTCCTCACCCTTTCTTACTCACTGGGGAAGGCAAATTCTCACGAGAGCACAGGAAAATGTGTCCAAAGCCAGCTGTTCATTTTGGTAAAGAATAAGGGGGGGGGGGTTGATTTTTCCTTGAAGCAAAAATGTTTTGATGAGCTGTCATATACTGGCTTGGTGTTATAATTTATCTAAAAAAAAGCCCTGTTTTAATTTGTAAAACGTTAGAGTGTATTTTGATTGATATGGTGTCTTAGACAACCTGACAGAGTCAAATATTTCTACCTCTATGAAATAGCCTCTGCAATTATGGCAATGGGAATATCCTAGCCTTTGAAGTGAAGAACTACCATAAATATCCAATGGTTTGGTCCACGTGCTTGTATTAATTTAATTGCTTTTAGGCACAGAACAAACTTTCCTGTATGGACTTCAAGGGTTGATGAATTGTGCCAGAGGCCATCAAGTAACTGGAAAGTTTTTTAGTTTCTATTTTACTAAATGATGAAAGCCACTATCTTTTCTTTTCCTTATGGCAAGTTCATATCTGATACATCTCTGAAGTAGAATAGGGTTGTAATAATTTCCTGAAGGTGAAAGCTTTGTCTGAAAGTACTTGAAAAAGTTGGCCTACTCTACATACAGTAAAGAAAATTTCCATGACCTGTCTTTCGTACAAAGTGAGAATTGCCTGTTAATCATGTAAAATGTTGCTTGTATAACACCTAAGCCTACTGGTGACTGAAATGATAGACAGATATCTGTGCCTCGAAATATGTTTATACTTCTGTTTTTCCCCTTCCTGAACAGGCTTTGGGATATTTCAAACAAGCAGAAGAAGGTAATTCCCAAATTTATTTGATTTTTGATTTTTGACTTCTCCTGCAAATTTCTCCAGCGGTGACAAGAAGTTGTTGCTGTTTGATTTTTTTAAAAACGCGGCAAGTTCCATTACAACATTTAGTGTTGCCATTTACCGTGTTCTTTCTTAACCTTGTCACAGTGGTACCTCTTTGAAAAAGTTTATATTTCCTTTTCTGGTCCTTGTCGAGGAGAGGTAAAAGTTATTTTGTTGGTGTGGTCATGTTTAAACACTCAATGGTTGTCATTGTCGGAATTGCATTTAATGAGAAAAATTTGACATCTCTGTGATATCAGATTCTTCACAAATTAAGAGTGTAGCACATCATATTTTTTGTTTGTTTGGTAAGAGTGGCTATTTGGTGGAAAAGTGAGAGAATGTATGGCAGACTTTTGGTTTTCATCTGTAGAAAGGTTTAGTTTATTAAAGAAAAAGTTTTCCTTTTCTTTGTCAGTCCTGATTTCAGCATGCCCTGATTTAAGAAAAAGTCATAATGGGATGAAAGTAAATGTATCTTATACTAGATGCCGACTAGTTTGTTTTAGTTTTACCAACAAAGAGAATTCTACCATTGTTCATTTGTATAAAGTGAGTTTTTTTCTAATTTTTGCATTTGTCTCTTTTTCTTAAGACAGCATACACTGTGCTTTAGCTCTCATCAAAGTTGCTGACCTGTAATTTCATCGTTTGAAGCTGATGTATACCTTAATGAATCTGCTGTATCAAATTCACTAATTTCCATGTATACTACATTAGAGGTATCAGTTTCATAGGGCGTACGTAAATTATCTCTTTACGGCTGCAAAACTTTAATGCCCCTTATATGCATGCCTCACTAAATATGTTAATAGGGAATTGTCGGCCATCCTATTATGATAAGTAGAATATTTTTTTGTTTTATGAGTCCTTTCAATTGAATCCTGATATGGAACCAGTGGGTTGTCAAATGTCTAGAAAGGGAAACAAGTTTAATGAAAATAAAAAATATCCCTCTTTGTTTTTTGAGTGGTTCAAGCAGTTACCAGCAATATTCTACGATAACATTCAACTTCAGAATTGTTCTTTTGTTGATGATGATAATAATGATACTGTAAATTATTTTTATATTGCCTACTCCCGTGCGCACAGCACATCTCTAGGCACTTTACACGAATCCAAGTACAATTCATAAATGAACAATATCCGTGAAAAATTAATATTTGTGTTTATATGCACACACAGAAAAAATCACACACACACACACACACACACACACACACACACACACACACACACACACACACACACACACACACACACACACACACACACACACACACACACACTCACGCACACACACACACACTCACACTCACACGCTCACACACACTCACACTTACTTTGCATTGGATCTCAGCTAGTTGGGTCATTTTTTAACATAATATGGCAATTTTGATATTTGTATTTGTTCAAGGTATCACAATGACAACTGTTTTTACGGCATGTTCTTAAATAAAGAGTTTTTGCTTTGGACATGCTGTAAGTACCCACAGACCCATTTACCAAGGCTGATTTCAATGGGGCTTGATCGCCGACATTTTAAAGTTTGGTTACTGTGAAGAGGGATGACAGATGCTCTGCAAAATGTTAATGAATGCACTATGATCAATCCATTTGCATGAAAAAGCAAGATTTTATGTTTATCATAAATTCAATGCACTTTTTTCCCCAAGCAAAGTTCGAACATAATTACGAGTTTGTAAGAGCAGTGGGATGCTGCAAGAAGCTTACTGTTGAGTCCAAGAAGCTGTATACACTGATATTTGTCTCTATTTAATATATGTGAGGTTTCGTGGGGAAATCGGGCCCTCGTCTAAATAATGAAATCATAGGTCATTTTTCTGGCCGATGGGCTATTTTTTTTCTAATTTTCTTCTTTTTTTTTTTCCTCAACACCTTTTACATTCCCTTAAAAACACATTCCGTGTGGATTTTACTGAAAAATGATGATCCCAGACAAAAATAATGTAAATTTGCAGTTTGCAAGGATACTGAAGCTTTGGAAGTCTCTGAACTTTGGTGGCCAATTTCTCGTTAATTTCACCTCTCAAATCAGACGACCCTCACCTACTTCAAGTGCAAATATCTGTTCAAGATTAAGATAAATGGGTATTTTTTTCATCAGCTGCAAGGCAAAACAACAGACTTCAAGGGTATACCAATAACTCCATATATGCCCTAAAATTGATGAGTGCCTGTTTCTGCCATGTCATATTTATGAGGTCAATCCTGAGAAGAAAGGTGGGAGCAGCCATGGGCATGTAGCCGACCATCTGTGATGACCCTAATCTTGTAAACAACTAGACAAATTTGTTGATGAGTTTGCATCAAGGACGCAGCCTGTGTGTGTCAACATTTATTCAGTCCTGAATCTTTGGGCGGGCATGATTTTATGTGGAAATTTGGCACACGCTCCTATGGGGTTGCTCTTTTTCTGTATTTTTCTAGGGTTATTATTGTCTCAATCTGATTTTTTATCACTGGTGTCCATTATCTAGCTTACTCATTGTAAGCCACTGTTCTGAAGTTGCATGGAAAAAGTCAATTTGTTTTTTTGGGGGTTTTTTTGGTGCAGTTCTAATTCTTTTTTCCCCCTGTCCAGCTGAGCCCGGTTTCTACAACCAGAATCGTGTCATGATGGGCAAAACCTACATGAGGCTCAAAGACAAAGAGGCAGCCAAGGATCACCTGCTAACTGCCTTGAAGTATGAGGACAAGACTGTGGATGATGCTCAGGTAAGCTGAAGTTAAACCATAAGAGGATTACTCATCATCATCATCATACTTTCTTACCCTGTACCAGAGCATAGGCTAACAACAAGTGGACTCCATTTACTTTTATCTTGGACTCTAGTCTCCACCTCTGTTCAGCAGTATCCCATCTATGTATTTTGTCAGGTCCAAATCTAAGTCCCTTCTCCAATTGGGTTTAGGCCTTCTTTCTTTCTCTTTCTTGGAGGATTCAATCTTAAAGCTTGATGGGTAATGTTCGTATTTGGTTTTCTCAATGTATGTGTTGGAGGATTACTGGCAGATTTTTCTAAAGTTTTCAACTCCCTTTGTCACAGGATATGTTGCATCTGATTCCAAGACTTCTTGGATGAGGATAAATTAATAATAATAATAAATAGCATTTATACTGCGCATATCCATTTCCTAAAAGATGCTCAATGCACATTACAATGAAAAAGACATCACATCTTAAAAATTAATCGACACAAATGTGTACGTAAAACGAAGTATTATACATATAATATAAATGCATATGTGTAAAATTTTATACCAGAAAAACAGTCTCGCAGTGAGGTTGAAAATGTGTTCACTAAAAATATACAATGCAATATAAATTCATGAACAGTCGAAATACAGTTGAAACGTGAGTAACTAGATACATTCATTAAAACATTAACTCTATACAGATAAAAAAACATTTCCGTTCTCTCTCTGTCTCTCTCTCTCTCTCTCTCTCTCTCTCTCTCTCTCTCTCTCTCTCTCTCTTTCTCTCTCTCTCTCTCTCTCTCTCTCTCTCTCTCTCTCTTTGTCTCTCTCTCTCTCTCTGTCTCTCTCTCTGTCTGTCTCTCTCTCTCCCTCTCCCTCTATTTCTCTCTCCTTCTCTCTCCCTCTCTCGCTATCTGTCTCTTTTCTCTCTCTATCTCTCCCTTTTTCTCTCTCTCATTCTCACTCGCTATTTCTTCAGTCTCACAGTCTGGCATACACATGCATATATATCACAGTACATCATTATGACAGGTATGCTTTTGTGAATAAAAAATGCTTCAGCTGATATTTGAAAATGGAAATTGTTGGGGCAGATCTTATTTTATATGGGAATTCGTTCCATACCTGGGGACCAAAGAACAAAAAGGAACGCTCGCCGTATGTTTTGTAGTTTTGTTTTGGAGTTTTAAGAATTAGATTGTCAGAGGCTGATCTAAGGGCTCTAGGTGGATTATATAATTCCTGGAATGTTTTAAGATAAAAAGGTGCACTATCATTTATACATTTAAAACAGAGAACGGCAGTTTTGTATTTAATCCTTTCTTTTATTGGCAGCCAGTGTAGTTCTTTCAGAATTGGTGTTACGTGGGCTGATTTCTTTTGTTTCATTATCAATTTTGCTGCTTGATTTTGGAGTACTTGGATTTCCAGTGTGCATTTTCTCCCGTTCAGTGCTCTCAGAAAGGGAAAAGTGCTGCTTTGACGAGTTGTGTTGTTTGTGATCATCACAAGTTGCTTGCTATTATTTCCTATAGTTTTCTCTCTTTACCTTGCTAGTCAGGTCTATAGCTTCTCCTCCTTTTTGGATATTAAATGTCCCCTTTTGTTTAAGATGGACAAACTATTATTATTATTATTATTATTATTATTATTATTATTATTATTCAGTACTATGGACAAGAAATTTCATAAGTCAACCCCCTGCCATATGCATTTGAAGAGTATTCTCATTGTCTACTTCTTTGGCTTTAACTTTTAAAAACTTCATTTTTGGAGGTCAATCCAGTAGTCTATGAGTAGGCTATGTGCCCTTCAGTTCAATGCCATGTTAAAAAGATGGAAGTCTTCAAAGTAATCAAAAGTTATTCTTTTCTGCAATGTAGGAACAGGAGGAAGAAGCTGACACGAACATTTAAGATCATCTGTGTTGTTCTTTACTCTCTGAGAGTTTGTTGGCTTATTTGCTTCCTGCTATGTACTGGAGAGTGCACAGTAGGTTTAAAATAGTGTTTTTGACTGAAAAGCTAGAAAGATGGACAGAAGACTGAGACTTCACACCATAGACTATTTTGGTTTGTTTCGAAATCTTCCCGGAACATGATGAGAGCATTCCATGCCTGGTCTAGCAAATTGCTGGTTTGTATTGATAAATTTTGTGTGACATACATCCTGTTCTGTACGAATGCATGGAGAGAGAATAAATCATTATGAATTTCTCCATTGCAGAGAGCAATTTGTAAAACATTGTGACAGCTGCCTATTTCATTTTTAGATGTTTGTACTCGTAACTGTACTCTCTACTCTTGTATTCACATCTTGAAGTCTTTCTCCAAATTAGTATGAAAATTTGCACGTTTTTATTTCTTCAGGCCCGAAAGGATGCCTTGGATTTGCTCAAGCAACTGGGTGTAAAGGTATGAGCTGCTGATCAACGACAGACCTTGGGGACCAAGACTGTGAGCAAGACTTCTACATTCGCACCGTTTCTTTCTCTCAGTATAGTAGCCTTCTTTCATTTGTTTATGTTGCTGATCTCATATATATATCATTTACTTGCCGTGACCAGCATAATTTTGTTAACTCCCACTTGCATCTATTTTTTAATAATAAGCACATTTGTTTTGATATTTGTTATAATTTTTGTGTGATTAATACCATGTTTGTTTTATTTCTCAAGGCTTCGGCAATTGTGGATTGAATAAAGTTTTATAACGCATTTTTGGAAAAATTGGCGTTCTTTGTAAATGTTAGCTCCTGCCTTTCAAAAATTGTTAATACGTTTTAATATTTCATGCGTACGTATCAGTGGTAAAGATATTTGCTACATTTTGGAATAAGTTTTGTCCCCCATGTTGTCTTTTCACTTAAGGACCTGGTGGATTAATGCTTTTCTGATACATCTGTAACCAATTCCAAAATAAAATGATGGATTATAATGTTTTGTTCATTCTGATCAAACGCTCTACTGGTATTAGTAAAAGTGAACTAGAAAGTAACAGATTATAGTCATGTGTTTGTTCTGATCAAAAGCTTCCCTAATATCTCAATAAGTGACGGAAACTTGTTTGAAAATTCTGTTTGCATTGTTGATGTGTCATAAATGCTGTAATTTACAGTAAATGCAATATACTTAAGGGAACTCAATGTACCTTTGTCGAGCCTTCAGCAAGTTTGGTGTACTTATGACAAGAACATCGTATCTCATTGTATGAGAGAGCAAAGGTTGTGTTCATGAGACATTGTAGCATGTGCATAGCATTTCATATACTTTTCGTTCATGGCAATTAAAACATACAGTATTACACGGATAGCTCGAATATGTCTGGACCGGCCTCGGTAATTCGAAGGATCCATAGTTGGAGGGATATCTCACAAAGATAGACAAGAGAGAGAGAAAAAACGTGACCGCAGGCACAGTTCAATGGATGCGTGATATCGAGTCTTCTGTGTTCAATCCATCCGTGTTATACTGTACTTTGTTATATAGCTTAAAGTAATAGGGTAGTGTTTTTTAAAATCTTTATTTCTCACTTTTTGACAGAAATGTGCCATTTCTTTCTCATATTTTAATTTTTCTTTGTTTTACTTTGGAACTTTTACTGATATCCCTCAAAGAAATCATATAGCGCTATGATACAAAGAGGAGGGTGTGGAGCCGCAATGCTCATTTTTTGTAACAATGACATGTACACTTGTTTTTGGGTAAAAGAAAGAAAAGTATGTTCAAGGTGACTGAATTGTTTTTATCAGGACCTGAGTCGTGAACTTTTCTTTATGATTTTGATGACAGTACTGTGAACATGTTGTGACAAGTATGGGTTTGTCATTTGCTGTGAAAAATTTGATCCTTTATTTTATATTTTACTTATAATATAAAATGCCTTACTGCAAAAATGATTTGTCGTTTTCCTTGTTTTTGAAGGCTGTTGTTTTGTCCCATTGCTTCAACTTTCTTCAGAAAACTAAGAAGTTATATTTAGACTGCCATTAACCTTATTGTAGACTTCATTTCTTACTTTGTTTATCCTTTTATGGCATCACACTTGTTGCTTACCTGAGGGAGACCTTTGTGCACACTGTTGCAATAATTTATCATTTTTAAAATTTCAATAGTTTTACATCCCCATTGACACAATTCGCTTGCTCATATGACCTTATGTAGTTGTGACTACTATAAAACTAGTACTAAACTAAATGAAACAACTGACATCTTCTATTGATGGCAGGCTGCTTTAACACTTTGCCATCACAAGGCTCATATAGTAAAAATTCTTTCCATCAAAGGCAAAGGCATTTTGGGGTAAATCCAAACAAACTGGGAGGTAAGCATCGCCTATGATGTGACAGCAAAGTGTTAACACTGCCTACCAGGGTGAACCCAGGTTGAGTGGGATGCAGCTACTTGTGTGAAAAAATCAAAGTGAAACTGCGACTAGTTTTTGAATAAATTAGATTTAAATTTAGGATGCACTATTTTTCAATAGTTAGGCTGACAAAAAAGCCTCCTCTTTTTCTCGAAACTGCTGTGAAATATAAATAAAAAGGCGTTTTGTCCACTTACGGCAGTGTTGATGTCAAAGCCAGACATGTGGAACATTAAACTGTCAAACTCCTTTGTTTTCAAAATGAAGGATGCAGTCGCTGGTGATTATGTAGGTGTGCTGGACTCCTCTTTCAGTATCAGCTGTTGAAACTTTTTGTACTTTAATTTTTGTGAGTAGGTGGAAAGTGCATCTGTTGTCCTTTTTCTTTGACATCACTCTGTTTTTGTTTTGTTTTTAAATCTGTCTCTCCTGCTATTTTCGAGTACAAAATAACAACATTCATCTCCGTGCACTTTTCTTTTGCTCTTACAAACGTTCAGGCTTTATAGAAACACAAGTTTGACCTAACATGTCAGTTTTTCTGTAGATTACAGCCACTTCCTGTAGATTCCTTTGGTCATCGTAGAGTTATCTTGGGACACAATTGAGCTCAGCAGACATTACTGTACAGCAAAAGTTTTGAGTGGGAATCCCTCAATGATGTCAAACAAGATGGCTGTTACTATAAATATCGGCCATTGGCGTACATCTGTCGTTCTTAAGTTATCTGCATGTGGCGGGTGTTCTGGTGTGGTTTGCTCCTTCTTTCCTATCGAACATCTATCGTCCTGATCTCTCCTCCTTTTTTGTGTTTGTTACTCTCTTATGACACCTCTAATCTTCGGCACTTATATGACCTTATTGTGTTGCAAGTGCCGTAAAATTCTACTAAAACAGAATAATCGTCACCCTTCAAAACGAAATTTGCCTTGAGCCTAGTGGCTCTTTTGATTTTTTTTAGTGGATCAGTGGCTGCCTTTTCAGCACACTTTATTCTGTCTGGCAGGGCTTCGGACTTCTACAAAGATTAGTTACTACCAGTTTCACTTGTGTCACGCTGTGGTAGCTCAGCACAATATGCAGAGGTGAGTGCTGCAGGAGAAGATGCGACTGTCAGTGTTTTAAGCCTCTATCTACACGATTTAGTTCTTCTTGTTTCAGGAAGAAACATCCCTGCTCTCCGGACATGTCCACTGATGCTCCATTGATCTCTCCAAAATGTTGCAGAGGGTCCTTCTACTGATTGTGCCAGTGCACATCTGGTTGAACGTTCTTCTGTTCTTTCCTGCAAGGATGCCAGATTTTCCGCTTCCTTTTTTTATTCCCAAAAGCATCATCCTCACCACGGCAGTACTGGCCTTTGCCTCCCTATCATCCTCAATCAGCTGGCGAGAGAGACATTTCAGGATCTCGACCCTATCTGGTTGAACCGTATTGTCAACTAAGGTGGCCTCTCCAGCCAATCTGTCGACCCTTTCATTCCTCTAACACCTGCATGGCCAGGGCAGAAAATCCATGTGAGCGATCGTATACACGATTTAGTAGAGCATTAAAGAGACAAACTGCTTCAAACCTGCCTGCCAGGGTCTGCTCATGCAGTTCTATGCCTCCTTTGACACGATTTAGAATGTCAATGAGAAGTTGCATGCTACGTTTATTTGTTCAGTTGGTATCACACCGGACCATGGATTGAATTGCCCTGGTTCTAATCTCAGACTGGGCATCCTTGAACTCGGGGTTTTTTAAAACGAGTTTTCAAGGCTCTCAACCCATTTGGCTTGGTCCTATCAGAGACAGATGCTATATTCGGAGGTCCGACCTCTTAAACAACCTAATACATGTGGTATGTATTGGGGGATTAAACTCATGCACTTACTAAACTAAAAATTAGCCGCGGGACATTTTCTCCATGTTCAAACTGACGTATCCCAATATTGAAATACATGTAGTACATTTGTTCAAGATGTGGAATTGAGGTCTCTTGAATAATAGCGGTCGGCCGTGCTCAACTCAGTCTTGCTTAGCGTCAGTGCACTATGCAGAGAGAAATGCGACAGTTGTTTTTTCCCCCCGTGTCCTGATTTTGGTGCCCGTTTTTGTTGGTTACGTAAAAAGAAAGTAATGGTGCAGATTGTTATATGAAAGGGGAATTGTTGAGTCGGTAATGATGATGATGATGATGATGATGATGTTGTTGTTGGCGATGGTGACGGTGATGAATTGTGATGGTGAGCATGATGATGATTATAAATTTATGTTGGCGATGATGATATTCTGATGTAGGAGATGACGTGCGTATTAGTCTTAGTGTTAAGTTTGTTTGGTGCTTACTCTAGATCCCCATCAGGCTGTCCTGGGGGGCAGGACACAACCCTCATTCCCAACTCCTCGCATAGAGTGACCAAAAATTTGGAAATAATTAGAAATGCGTAAGTTAATATTAATAAAAGTAAAAGACTGCCAGTGTGGCCTTTTCAGGGACCTTTCTGTGTAACCTCCTGGGGTTTGCTCGTACGTAGGATGGACGTCTTTGGTGTGAACGTTGGGTGTTACTGTTAGGCTGTTGCATGGAAAGGACATGAATTCAGTTTCTTAGGGGGGAATTTTTTTAAATTAATGTAATGTCTTTGTGTCCTGTATTTATACATGTAGTAGTAGTATGTCACTCAGCCTGGGTTGACCCTGACAGACAGGATCGGAGTAACTACTAACACAACCTCTTAAATTTTAACTCCTGCGGGACCGGGTCACACTTGGCTTCTCAGATTATCAAAATTAAGACTATGGGGCCGTAAAATATTTACACACACGAAAAAAAGAGAAGTCGATGAAATCTCTTATTGTAGGCACGATGCTTACAGCGAAGGTGTAAGTTGGCACAGACTTTTTCCAACCTCCAGAAGAACTGTGAGGCACTCGAGTGTGAGTTGGCAGGCCGTTCGTTAGTTCAGTTTGTGTCATGCTGGGCTACGGAGTGAATTGTCTTGGTTCAAATTCATAACGGGATATTCTGAACTTGGTTGTTTTGGGGAGTTTTGAAAGCACTCCACCCATTTGTGATGCAGCGTGGTGGAATCAGGCTCTCGTCAAGTTTTGGGCATGTAGAGTTATTGGTATCATCTTAAAGCTTGTTCACTTGTCTTTATTTGGATTGAAAAAAAGTCTATTTACCTTGAATACAAGTCGAGATATTTGCGAAAGAAGGAGGTGGGGGTCACCTGTTTTCAGAGGAAAAATTAGTGAGAAAATGGCCGTCAAAGAATGGTTATTTCCTTAGCTTAAGAGTCCGTGGTAACTGAAAATTTCCATTTTTTGTGCCTTTAATCAACGTTTTCAGAAAAAATCCACACAAAAATGAGTTCTTTAATGGGCATGAAAGGTGTTGGGAAAAAAAACAACAAAAATTTGATACAAATTCACAAACCTGCGGAAAAATGCAGGTTTCTTCAATTTGATTATTTTGACGAGAGCCTGATTCCACCACGCTGCATCACATTTGGCTTGGCCTTTTCGGAGATGGGCGTCAAATGTGGAGGTCCTGCCACTTATACGAGGTGAAGCGCATAGAGTTTGCTGTTGAGCGGGGATTTGTGCTATACAAATGCTGTCTATTATTAATATTATTAAATAACTTTGCAGTACTGAAAGTGGCGATAAACCAACAAGGTTATAAATAAAACGCGTTTAACAAATACAATGACCAATCAAAGGTGCAGCTATCGGAATTGGGGGGGATAGGTAGGCGCTCCGACAGGCTCTTCCAGGAACTCTTTTTGCTCTTCGTACCAGTAAACATGCTACAACGAAATATTCGCCGTTTTTTCTTCGTTATGGACGGGAGCCTAAACTGCCTATTGATGTGGAAAGTGATTCTACGCCGCGACACACCAGCGTTTTAGGGAAGCATGCAGTTCAGTTGTTGTGTTTTTTCTCGCTTCTTACTCTACACGACAATATTCCCTCCTAGAACAAAGACTCTCCGATCTTCCAAGTTGATCTGGGCAGTAGCGTTAAATGTGAGGCATCGTGATGAAATCAGAACGCTCGTCAAAATAATGAAATAGAAGAAAATGGCACTTTCCCGCCGGTTTGGCAAATTCTAATCATCTTTTTTTTTTTTTTTACTCAACACCTTTTAAAACTATTCAAAAACACATTTCAGTACGGATTTTACGGAAAACCCATAATCAAAGGCCCCAAACATTGTACATTTTCAGGTTCCAAGGACTCTTCAACTTTGGAAACTATTTAGCGGCCATTTTCTGGTTAATTCGACCTTTGAAGCCAGGTGACTCCTACCCCCTTCAATAAAAAAAAATCACGACTTCTGTTTAAGATAATTGGCTATTTTTTTCATTGAAAGCAAAATAAATAAAAAGGCTTTAGGATGATAACAATAACTCCCTTGGCCCAAAAATTGACAATGAATGCCTGATTCCACAAATGTCACCCCGTGGGGTTGCCACACAAAAGTAAAGCAAGCGACACTTTCTGCGCAGAATTTACTGCGCGACAATCGTAGCCCGTCTGTCA